TTTTCCCTTGGTATAATATTAGCATAAATATATACCCAAGGATATACTAGCAAGATCTGAAAATGTCTTTTTCTCATAATAAGTTATTTTTTTCAAAATTCTTTGTTTTTCTTAAATACTTGTCTTTGTTTCCTATCTCCAGAGCAACTTACTGTGTCATGTAACTACTAACCCATCGAATATGTTGATCAACATCTATCTTCGAGTTTCTTTCTTGCAGTTTATACCTAGTGCCTAGACTAATTTTCCCTTTAGAATAGACTTATCTAATTTATTAAAAACCACTTAATAACCCATGAGAACCGTTGTCACCAGATGGAGAGAGCACCTATTAGTTGTAATTTAGCAAGCTTTTCTCCCTTACCTTTAGATCACTTTGAGAGCTCAAGCTGAATGTTATAATAATTCTAACAATTTTCACTGGTTGGGAAAATAAGGTAACCTAATCTAAGTTATTTACTTACCCTTATGAGAAATTATTACCAAAACTCAGATTGGGATGAAGACGTTCTCAGCTCTGAACTTTTACTATGTTTAACCACTCTGTGATCAGGGTTGTGGTTGCTACTTTGTGCACAGTTGCGGGTAATTAGTATTGAGCCAGGCTGACCAGGTCCCTGAGCTGCTGGAATGTGCATCTTGGTAAATGTCATTCCCTGTAACCCAACGAGACTTTGCACTTGGACTGTCTCCTTCACCCAGTGGTTTTAACTACTTTGCACATATAGGATCAGATCATTTCTGCTGGATGCCGTAAACACAAATGATTGTATTTGCTGATGAAAGACTGAACCTGGTTGATTGATCCATATTGAAAATATTTACATATATTTGTCATCTTCCAGGCATGGTGGTATGTGCTGGGAAAAAATACAGGTTGAATAGATCCTGTCCACAGGAAACATAGAGTCTATCATTAGTGGAAATTAAACGTAACTGTAAATAATTGCAATGTCGTGAAAAAATAATTTAAAGAAAATATGAGTGCAGCAGATGACAGCATGGTCGCTCAGGTCATAGATGACAACTGTGTAAGTGAGAGAATCACGAAAAGCACTGAGAGGGAGAAACACTTGTTCTGAGTCTGAAAGCAAGAGTTAGTTTGGACAGTTGAACTTGACCTGAAAGGGATGTTGCTCTTCCCACCTCCATAACTCACTTCCTCGGTGCCCTCCAATCTCCCTGTTCTAAGTACCATGGTCTCCTTTTACTACTTTTACTGCTATATAGCAGGAGCTCATTGAAGACATGTTTATATGTGCATTTTTTACTGGATTCTCAGTAATGTTCAAATATTTTTAAAAGGCAAAAGTGAGATCTGAAAGTTAAATGGCTTGCTCCAAGTCACATTGTTGTAACATGACAAAACTAGAACAAAACCATATCTTTTCACTTGAAGAATTTTTCTATTGCACTATAAATAGTCTACAAGTTTCTTCTAACCAACATTCCAGAGACAAGGTTAAATTTTATCATGTTATCATCATGATCATCCAGTATTTTAAGTTTTTAATGCAGGGAGAAATAAAATATTGCTCTTGCCTAGGAAAGGCCTAGAATATAATTAAGAAAAATCACACTGAAAGATCATGAATTTATTTTCAACATAAATGGCCATGTCCAAGCTGCTGTTAGAAAAGGATCCCTAACTGATAATCTGCAGCAAAAGTAGGATTTTCTTGCTGTTATTTGTGAGAATGGTTACAAAATTTTTTTTCATTTTCTTTATTTCTGCTAAAAGCCTAGCCTAGCTGAACTTGCCTCATGTTATCTTAATGTCTATTTAATTTCTTAAGCCAACCTTAGAGCTTTTCACTGGTATAGCATAAAGCCCAAACTTCTAATTTTATAAACTAAAAACAGATCACAAGAACAAGTAGAATGTTAGCATACATTTTGGTGCTTGATTTTTTTCATGATGAATAAAAATGTAACTGTTAATCTCTTTGCAGGATTTTCCTGAAATAATTTTTGCACATATACAGTGTAATATGTGTCTCATATATATATCTATAAAATTAACAATATTTAAGCGATGTTTCATGGTCAAGCCACATCTGGAATATTGTACACAGTCTTTTGAGTAC